TACAATACTATTTTTGCGTTGTATGAAAATTTTTGTTGCTCTGTATAAAATTTTTAATCAAGCCCCCCCCCCCTCCGGTCAAAGGTGTCCCTTTTTACCACTCTGAAAATCTGGTCACCTTACCCACCCACCATGTTGCAGGAGGCTAGGCCACACCCACTATGGCCATGCCCACCCAGCAACCAGACAGAGAAGCCCTTGCTAATATTTTTGAAGCCCACCCCTGTACCTTATCCCTTCTAAAGGAGAAAAATATAACCAAATATCCAAGTGAGTATGCATCTTTGAATTTGGGCATTCATTACAAAAGAGAACAAAACTGAGACTCTTGTAGTTTTTTCAGGAAGAATTGTGTGCCAACTTTTTTCCAGAGAATTATAATAGCTGCAATGGCCATCTAACTTATTTATTCATTTACTTTATATAATTCCTATGCTGCTCCTATTATAAAACTGTCCATGGCCCACAAAGATAAAAGTGAAGGAGCAAATAGGAGTAAAAACTATAAAATTAGAATAAACCATGTTAATTATATTAATTCTTTGTGATGAATATTTAAGATGTTTAGATACAGAAATATTTTATTGTTTCAACTTACTGGAAAAATTATTCAGAGGGAAAAAAATTAGAAAGATTAGCGATCTGTTATTCTAATTCTGCACTTCAGTAACCTTTCACTAACTTTTTCCTCAAACATTGCTCTTATTTAACTCTCCTTTATGCTTTCTCAAAATGGACAACTGCATTTTCCTTAAACACATTTTCAAAATAGCAACTATGAGAAAAACCTGACGTGCTTTGTGCTTAAAAATGCTGTGTAAATTGCCATAATATAAAACACACTCAAGGGTGATATGAACCTAAATGAGAATGCTGCTAGGACCAAAACTATGTGGATGAGCTGATAATGTTATTCAGCTCCAAAAACAAAGAGGCTTCAGAAATGGACTTTTGTCATTTCAAATTATCCAAGAGAACAGACAGACGAGATAGTGTCTAAGAGAGGCCTTTTGTTTTCATGGAGATATCTCTCAGTTTCTTCATAAACAATTACTATGACAGAAGAGATTTTAACTTCTAGAAATGGCCTTTTAAGAAAAGTTAATGCACCTTAGTATACTGAAAGCTATTTCAGTTAGTCAACATTAGTTCTTCAGTGTAATGTTTTCTAAATATGAGTCCATCATCTGGTAATTTTCCTGTTCTGAATCTATTTTGATTAACCTTAATATTTCTAGGAATTTTTTTTAAATGAAGGCAATGCTGAAATACTACCTGTTTGGTTTAATATGAAGAGTTGTTCATAATTCATAGACTGGGGGTTGGTTCCATGAGAGGAACTAAACAGAGCTTGCTCCTGTGAGAATTTGCTTGAACATTAAAAACAGCCACTTCTTCCATGCTTTCTATGTTCACTTTCAAAGATAAGAGTGTTTGGGAAGCTTTTCAATAACAATAACAGTTAGACTTATATACCATTTCACAATGTTTTACAACTCTCTCTAAGCAGTTTACAGAGGCAGCATATTACCGCCAACAATCTGAGTCCTCGTTTTACTCATCTCAGAAGGATGGAAGGCTGAGTCAATCTTGAGCTGAGGACAATCGAACTGCTGGCAGTTGGTAGAATTAGCCTGTAATGCTGCATTC